GTACACAACGCCCCCCGTTCCGCCACCATCCCCATCTGCTCGGCGATGCCCACGACGTACCTCCTGGCGCAAGTCAGCAACGGCAACCTCGTGGCCACCCGCACCGGGAGGCCAGGACGCTGACTGAAGGACGTGCGAACCTCGACGGCGACGCCCTCGTGTCCATGTCCTTGAGGCGCGAGCGAACCCTTCGTCGGCAACCTCGGGGCCGTCCGGGCCGCCCAGGCCGAGAGGCCAGGACGCTGACTGAAGGACGTGCGAACCTATACGGCGACGCCCGCAGGGTAAGGGTGGGGGCCTGAAGCGACACCAGGGTGGCCACGCAATTGGAGTTTTCAAATTCCCTGACTTTTCCCTGACCTTTCCCTGACTTTTTACGCGAATTCCCTGACTTCTAAATGTATTTTAAATGGAACTTTTTTCCTCCCAAAAAATTGAAAATGCCACTGAAAGTTTGAAAACAACAATTTGGGGCAAGATTCAGTCATTTTCCCTGACCAACACTCAATTTCCCTGACTTTTTCCTGACTTCCCTGACCAGTATTTTTTTCCCTGACTTTTCCCTGACTTCCCTGACTTCCAGGTTGCGTGGCCACCCTGGACACTCACTCAGGCACTCACCCGGACACGGTTCCGCCAGCGCTAAAGAAATTGTTTTCTGGTCTCCGCTTGATTCCCTTGCCGTTTCGAGAGTAAAAGCTAGCTGACACCTTAAATTTACTTATCTATTCTTTACGTTTAGTCAAAAGGTTTTTAAGGTATCATCTGCTAAAAAGACCCTGCAGCGCCTAAACGGTTAGAGATAGAGCCAAACGGACGAAATTTTCGCCCGAAGGGCTCTACTTTGACGAATTACCCCTTAAGAGATCACAAAAAATTTTGTTTTTTGACTTTTTTGACCAACCTTGTTTTCTTTGATACCCCCTTTCAGCCCCTTAGCGGTGGTTGCCAGGATTTGCCGTAGGCGTTTCGTTCTCTAGGAGTGGACCTTAAGAAACCCTGAAAATTCAAGTCTCAAGCACATCTACTTCTAGTGGAACAGACAGACAGACACGAGGATGCAAGTTCTTGTCGCCATGTTTACTGTATATTGTCAACAACGACCCTGCCAATAATCGTGTTTAACAATTTGCAGAACATAATACCTATCCACAGTATGAGGGGCAAGAAATCAAGAAAAAGAAATCAAGCAGACGCCAGACCCGCCAGACGCCGGACGCAAATTGTAATTAACAGTTTTCAGTAAACATAGCGACAAGAACTTGCATCGAGTGTGATTTAAGATTTATTTGTATTTTAAGTGTTCTTAGCTGTGGCAGTGGGATGGGATCGACGCTTATTGTCATCCGTGTCGATTTCAGAACAGACACATCAGACTAAAGCAAATTTACTGCCTCCAAACACAATGTGAACATTGGTGAGGTTAAGTGCTTGGGCTATATTAGCCTAGGCTAATAAGACATGGAATCAATGTTCTTGCATTGAGAACTGAAAACAAGATCAAAGTGGCTTTTTCAATCTATTGTGAGTAAAACAAACCTCCTCACCCCCATCTTCAGTGCTGTTATCCTGTTAATTTTATCGAGTTCTATTAATTGTCTGTTAGTTATTTGTGAGGGCTCGCCTCGTATTTGAAGTCACATGGAGACAAAATTGTACTTTGACCATGGACAAAATTGTTCCTTGACATTTAGTGTGTTCATCGTCAGTCTATCGGCAGCCAAACCGTAGCCAAACGGCTGATCATCCTCATCGACAAACGGCGGACAAACTTCAGACAAACCACACCGTTAACAACCAGACCACATAGGCCATCGGCAGTCGATCCTCAGCCCAGTTAGACTGAGGATTGACTGCCGTTTGTGGATTTGGCAATGGGTTACCAGACTTTGGCGCCTCAGACAATCTTCAGACAATCCCCTGCAAGAAATGAAAATGAAAACAAACGTCTCGGCCGGGCAGCTGTCGCCGGCCCGGTACCGAACCCCTGCCCCCAGAGTGGGAGTCGGAGTGCTCCTTCTAGTGGAACAGACAGACAGACAGACACGAGGATGCAAGGTCTCGTCGCCATGTTTACTGTATATTGTCAACAACAACCCTGCCAATAATCGCGTTTACCGTTAAGGCGCTAGAGGGTCTTTTGTGACGAAAATAAGTTAAAAATTGCTATAGTGAACAATAAGTTGTAGAAAAGGGCCTAAAAACCGCAAAATAGAAAGGAAACTCTCCCCCACCCCCAAAAAACGTTTTCTAAGCAGAACGGTGGGTTATAGTCGCGGTGCTTCACCGTTACATCCCTTTCTCGTGTCTACGGGCCAAACTCAAAGACGACGCACAGTGGGAGATTTAGGTTCAAAATCGCGACAAAAGTCAAATCTTTTCACGATCGGCATATAATTCGGAATTACGGAGTTTTCTGGGGTAATGTCATCAAAAACCTGCAAATTTAGTGAAAAGTGCGGAAAAGTGTAAAATTGGTCCACCACCCACCCCACCCCCAAAAAGTTGCTATAATTGCCAAGTTTTCGGTTCTGTTTCTATGAACGCCGTACAGCAACAGGTAAAAGTATGTTCACGTGTTCAAACACAACCATATCACATGTTTTGGCACATTTTTGGCAGAGCCAGCCGGACACTTCCACCCAAAAAGGCCATTTTTGAATGCTCAGCATCGCCAAGGTGGCAGCTTGTGGCACCTCTGTGGCAAATGGGAAGACTGTCGTAAGTCCACTAATGTCACAAAGTGACTTTTTAACGTATTCGTATTCAGCCGGTCTAGCTCTACAATTTACTTTTTATCAAAAAACATGACAGAGGCATAGTTTGGGAGGTAGATAGTGGTGAAATATGTCGTAACTCCAAAATAGAGGTTCCTTTTAAAGCAAAAAGGGCGCAAGTCCACTTACGCCACTTGGCGTGAGAAACTTTGCAGTATCAGATGTCGTAAGTCAAGTTACGCCACTTTACCATATTATCAATTGAAATCTTAGTGGAACAAGTATACTTACGACGTTATGCTCAAAAAAATAATAGTTATACCATTCAATATTTTTCTTTTGCCAGTATCCACTAAACCCGTCCCAAAGCTAGACAATGTGCGCCCAGCACATATGTAGCTGTCCTGCAGTATCCTTGTCTTCATCTTGATAGGAAATTTGTCGCAAGTGGACTTACGCCTGTCTGCCCAAAAACCAGTAGAATTTTATTTGTCATAAGTGGACATACGCTACTCTTCCCCAAATTAGAACTAAAATCTTTTTGTCGTAACCCAATTTTGGTTGTGGAAGGTCACTACTAGAAGGTAAAAGAATTTAGACAATTGCCTTTATATTCAGAAGGTCTACGCTTACATTTTAAATTGTTTCGAGTTTGATATCATGCGGAAGACGTTTTCTCTGCTGCCTGAAAACTTAGTCCAAAAAACTTACGACAGTCCTCCCATTTACCACAGACCTGTTCTCAAGCGGGATACGTTAATTAGTGTCGTAGCTACCAATTGGTGCAAGAGTTAGAGTGGAACTCGGCGGAACTCAAATTATAACTCAATATGAAAATACGATTACCCCTAACCTCCAAATCCTAACTTTTGACTTATGATTTATTCCCATTCTGAAGTCTTTGACATGATAAATAAGACTTAAAATGTTGCCCAACTCTTAATTACCAAGAAATGTCACTTATAGACCGTGTTTTTCTCAATTTCAAAGCATTTTACCAAAGCGACTGACGGGGCGAGTGAGCGGAGGCAAGCGCAGGGGTCGGTTTAAACACATCCAGCCGCAGGCCCGACTATCGCCGCCGTCAGGCCAAGCAGGCCCGGCCCCTGCCGAACGAAGTTGCTTGTTTTTTTTTTTGTTGTTGTTTTTTTTTCCCTTTTTTTGCATCATCTTTCTTCGTATATCACTATCTGCTTGAGTGCAAGACCTGTTACGCGATTTTTTTTTTTCTTTTTTTGCATCATTTTTCTTCGTATATCACTATCTGCTTGAGTGCAAGACCTGTTACGCGAGACAAAGTCTAGCGTACACGGAGTAAAGAAAAGAAATAAAGCATTCAGGTAAAGCTGAAATGCAGAAACATGCGGGGAACAAGAAAACGGAAGTCACCATGTTAAAGCATAGCGATTTCCGTTTTCTTCTTCCCCGCATTCTTCTGCATTTCAGCTTTAACGGAATGCTATATAGGGTGTCCCTCAAGAGCGCGGAGCGGAAGTAAGAAGAACAAAAGCGGAAACAGAGAGCGGTGGTGGGGGCGGGCGCGCGGAGGAGCGGCGGGCGGGCGG